ATGCTACTACCTCTGAAACAAGGGAGTTGATACTGAGTAAAGTGTAACAGCTGTTTGTTATTTTTATCATGTACCCACATCAACATCCTCAAAAATGTAGAGGAAGATCCAGCACCTGATTGATATGGAAAACCTCATGTTTACAATGGAGAGTAACCATTGAACATATGCACTTCATCTTATGGGTTTGGGTACTTTTTATTCATTCATCTTATGGATGCTGCTACCTAGGAGTATTAAATATACACAATTCAATTAGAGGGGCGAACTGAAATAAACCAGGAAAAACGTGAACTGAAGGAAACTAGGAAAAACAGCATACTCTTACAATACACTACAGACAGTCAATCTGGGGAAGCTGCAACAAATATTAAAGGAAATGTGGATGGCCCAAATATAATAAAAATACCTCCTTAAAATTCGGCGTAGATAGTAGGCATCCATATGCTCTAACATTTCAGTCATTATTCTTGATTTCCACCAAAAGTTAATTGCTATGGTCAAATCATCACTGTCTACTTGGTGATACCTGATAAATGAACACTCAAAGTGTAAGACATATTAGCTACCCTACATTAGTTTTGTTGGAGGATACTTAACAGAGCAAAAATCTAAGATAATTTTTTCCCATGTGCAACATCCAGATTTTCCCAGAGTTCAGTCTTTTTACTTAAAAAATGGGTGCCGACTTTACATAAAAAAATGAACCACGGAAAAATCAGGATATCACACTATGCTAGCAACATATGAGCTTTCACATGTATCAAATGTATTAAACCGAATAACCACTTTCTGATTTAAAGGAGATAAAGGTCGCAGAATGGTATGATGAAAATAAAAATGAAAATCAGCTATGGAACACGGATGGCAGATGGCACCAATCTTCTGGTATCGGAAATTGAGATGCTGAGAAATAGGATTAAGTACAGTGTAAAATAATTCAAAAAGATGTACCATCCTTCTGGTATCGAAAACTGAGATGCTGAGAAATCGGATTAAGTACAGTGTAAAATAGTTCAAAAACATGTACCATCCTTCTGGTATGAAAAGAGCATCGCCACAATTTAGGACAACCCTTTCAGAATACTCCTTCATGTATTTTGCTCTTGTGTAACTTGAATAGTCTGGTTCCTCAATACTGACACCGCTGCCAAAAATGATTGGGGGATCAGAGAAAGCATTTTTTATCTGCTAAATTCCAATTACTCAAGTCAATTAAATAAATGGAAATAGTTCCTTGGAGAAAAGGAGTTTACCTATGGTTGGAGGCCTCCCCGTATACAGGCATTGGATACAAAAATGGGGATGCGGAGGGAGACCACAAAGTTACTGTATGGAATTTTATCAGGGGAAATAAACAATTAATAGGTTTCTTTAAAAAAATCAGGTGCTAGAAAATAAATATTTCAAACGGCTTCAAGATAAGGATCTTTTATCACGTGAAAAGACCATGAAACTAAAGTTGAAGAGAGCAAATTCAATTAGAACACAAAAAGTCCATCTGCAGTTGCAGTAAAATGGTGATATTCCTATGTTGTTACCAAAGACACAACCAAGTACCAACACATAATATCCGTAGAACTTGTAAATTAACATCCAAAAGAACATCAACAATGGCTGCATAGCATACTATTACTGCCTAAAATATGAAAGATACCTTTCTTGCATCCAGCCACCACGCAGAGAAGGTTATGGTGAGGATCATAATGGGTACTTGATCTCATGTGAGCCCTACTCATCCAGAAGTTTATTGATGAAAATGGTTTTCCTTTCAGAAATATAGGCTGCAGAAAGAAAAAAGAAACCAATTAACTCAAAAGCTTGGAAGTCATGAATAGAGATGATTCGCATGAAAAACAAACACGGTTAAGCAGACCTCCTGAATGTCCTCTTTTAAAACTTCTAACGAGCATCTCTCTTTGTTCTCAGTGTTGAGGATTGACACCTGTTGTAGGTAAGATTTATTTTCATGTACATAAATAACTGTATAACACTACAGTAACTACTTATCAGAAGGGTGCAAAAAGGCAAACATGCCTGTGCTAAGTAGAGTTGCTCGGAAATCTCCAAGCCAGCTGAGCACATTTCCCCTGAACAAGTTGGCTCCTCCCCAATACCTTTATCTTTGGACGAATCACTAGCAGCATTCAGATGCCCCAGGTAAGATTTGCAGGAATGCATGAATGTGGAGAATGGGATAGAAACCTACATCAAGGAACGATATATCTAGTGTCAGCGCCTCAACGTGAATTGTGCATACGGAATAATTCAGGAATTCCAAGCAGAAAATTCGGAGCAACAAAACAACAACCCTCTCATGACTTCTGAGATCCCCATAGAACACGTGCCCGGTGCTCGACATCATGGCTTCCACCGCAACATCAGGCCCCACCTTCTCCTGAAGAACGAGTGAATGACCGGGGTAAATATTGCATCGACAATTGCAAAGTAGAAAGGCTCAAACATATGTTATTTTTTCGCTGTCTCCTAGTATGAACTGTACAGGGGGAGGGAGGGAGGGAGTGATCCGAACCAGCAAGTAGTCGAGGCCACCATGGAGAGGATCCCACCGAGGGGAGGCGGCTGACCCCTTGAGCACGCCGCGGAATACCTAGATATTGGGGTTTCCCCCCACGAGAGCAAGCACGGAGACATCAGAAGGGGGCACGGGGAAGGAAGGAAAGGAGAGCTGGGAGGAGATGAGGTGCAGAGCAGTTACGGCGGGGACGTTCTTGGGCTCGATGGAGGCCGCGAACTCCTCCGACGACGGCGGCGAGGAGAAGCGGGCGGCGCGGAGGCCGGCCTCCACCCGCGCACCCACGAACTCGGCGTCTTCCTCGGCTTGCATCCCTTCGCCGTCCGGGAGTTTTTTTTTTTTTTGAGTAACGCCGTCCGGGAGCACGAAGCACCTCGGCTACGTTTTTTTTTTTGAGGGCTACGTAGTAGAGCTGGGAGGTAACGCGTCCATGGGCCTAGCCTCCTGTAAGTGAGCCTTGGTCCAGGCCATGGCCCATGGGCTAACAAAACTATATATTTTTACACTTACTAGATAATTGTCCATGTCCTGCAAGGGCACAAATATTTTATATGCAATCACTGTGCTTTACCGATCATTTTATTTTTTATTTATGCGATTACGTGTTAAAATTGGAATCTAGTTATCAACTGAATCAATACATATTGACTTGTTCCATCTTATTCAGCAGTGTGTGTCTGATTCGGTCCAGGAGGAGATCATGCATACCCTGGACCTCACCTCTTCGACCTTTGAGGAAAAGTATCTCGGTCTTCCAACCCCTGAAGGTCGAATGAAGGTTTCTCATTTCCAACCCATTTTCGAGAGGTTCACTAAAAGACTTACGGACTGGGCAGAAAGATACTTGTCCTATGGGGCAAAAGATATTTTGGTCAAATCTATTGCTCAAGCCCTACCTACGCATGCCATGAGTATCTTCAAAATGAGTGCAGGCTTTTGTGATAAATATGAGAAACCGGTGCGTGACTTCTGGTGGGGGGATGAAGAGAACAAAAGAAGAGTGCACTGGATGTCATAGGAGAAGATGACAAAACCAAAGCGTGAGGGGGCGGCTTGGGTTCCGTGATATGTGTATTTTCAATCAAGCTCTTCTCGCAAAACAAGCATGGCGACTTGTCCAAAGACCTGACAATCTATATGCTAGGGTTCTAAAAGCAAAATACTACCCAAAAGGAAATTTGTTGGGCACGGTCTTCACCTCTGATGGATCTCCCGTGTGGCGTGGAATTGAGTATGGGCTTGAACTCTTGAAAAAGGGAGTGGTTTGGAGAGTGGGAAATGGAAAGAGTATCCAAATCCTTCGTGACAACTGGATACCTCGGCAATCTGGCCTTTCCATACAATCCATGAAAACTAGAAGCCGGCTGAGGTGGGTAAACCAGTTGTTGCTTCCCCATTCTAATGACTGGAACAAGCAGATCATTGACAAGTTGTTCTACAATTTTGACTCGGCAGAAATATACAGGATCAAGCTCCCCTCAAGGCCTATGGGGGCATTCTACCTTGGAACTATGAGAAGAACGGTACATTCACGGTTAGGAGTGCTTATCATCTTGGAGTTTCTTGGGGGGGGGGGGGTCTAATGAAGGATCCTCAAAAAACCCCAGTATTGCTAGGGAGAGCTTATGGAATCTAGTCTGGAAAGCAAAGGTACCACATAAAGTCCGTACCTTCACCTGGAGGGCTGCCACTGATTCTCTCCCTACAAAGGACAAGCACAGGAGGACTCTTGAATTGGGTGGTATATGCAACCTATGTGGACTGCGATTGAAAACGCACATCATACTACCATTGTATGCACAAAATAGAGAGCTCTTCGTGAGGAAATGAGTAAATTTTGGAAACTGCCAGAAGACAAATCAATCATGCCTTTCTCCCCGGATTGGCTTTTGCAAAGCTTGAGTATTTGCCATGGTGACATGAGGGAAAAACTTATGCGAGTTCTTTGGAGGGCTTGGCACATGAGAGATGATGTCGTTCACAACAAAGGTGAAGCTACTATACAAGACTCTGTGATTTTCTTAAGGAATTATTGGGAGTGCCTATCCAGCCCAAATCCGGTTGTAAACGATGTGAAGGGGAAGCAAAAGCTGCATGGAGTTAAGTTGTAGTCTTCTAGCCTGCCTCCCCATGTTGAGGTGCTTGGCTGGACTAAGCCGCCAGCGGATCATATAAAGATCAATGTCGAAGCTTCTTTCATTGCAGGCACAGGTTTGGCTACGCTGGGAGCAGTTGGCAGTGATTGTTTTGGTGATATTGTCTTCTCAGCCGTTTGCCGTTTTCATGGATGCTCGGATGCAGAGGAAGCCGAAGTCCAGGCCCTTTCTTTCGGCCTTAACCAGGCTCGTAAATTGAATTTGAACAAAGTGCAGATGGAGACTGATTGCAACGCTGTTGTGGCTGCTGTGAATGATAGTAGTGTTAGCAGGGCAGCTGGTGGGCTTGTTATGAGAAGTCTAAGGATATGATCAAGGAGTTTATAGCTTGTTCTGTTTCCAAAGTCCATAGGGAGAGCAATGTGGCTGCGCATGAGCTTGCTGCCTATGTTAGAGTAAACGGGGATTTTTCTTTTCTTTTAGCTAATGTGCCACAAGCTTCGAAACACGTAATTGCTTCTGATTGTATTTCAGACTTGTTGATATGAATGAAGCTCTCCCTTTTCTCAAAAAAAAAAACCCTATTGACTTGTTAAAAGACCATGATTTTATTTGGTCTTCTACAGTATTTGCACTTATGACAAAACAACGACGAGGTCTACTGTGGCTTCAGCAAGAATTTTGCGGCACATGGACTTGGCTGTAATACCCCATTTGTGTAGGGTCATTTTCGTGCACATGGTTCAGTTACCTCGTGTATTTAAAACATATTTTCAACTAATTACCCTTTTAAGTGTTTTTCCTGTTTTGACTCCTTGGACCCATGTTTTAGTGCTGACTGTTCATGCCAGTTTTCTCAGTTCGGCTCGCTCTACTCAATGGGGTAATTGTTGTCACAAATGTGAAACTAGTAGAAGGTAAAAATTGGAATTCACTCTTTTTGGAAAAAGGGAAGAATGGAAAAGAGGGGCTATAAGCCTCGAAGTCACAAAAACCAGTCAACAACTGCACAATCCACAGCCAGCGATTCCAATCATAAACATGGATTTTCTAAGGGCCAGCGTGAGGTGGAAACCACTCCCACCCCGTGTTTAAGGGAACAAACAGCACACAAGGAAGGGGCCCGTGGGAGAACCGGTAGCAGCAGAAAGGGAGCTGTAGGCCATCATGACACCAGACCAAAGGCTCGTGTCCCCCTCCAACTCAACTGGATCCAAACATTAGAGCCAAAAAACACATGACATGACGCTTCAAAAAAGAAGGAAAAACCGGGAGACAAGGAGCATGACTCACTCGAGTGGACTGGAATATGTTAAGATGCGCCGAAAGGTTGACCGGTGGAATTAGATACAGCTTTAGCTTCACTAATTTTTTGTTATCAGCAGCTCTCCACATGTTGAGGTTTTATCCGCTGAAGAAAAAAGTCCGAAGTTTCTGCGGAATCACTCGTATACATGTTATTTATAGGAAAAAGTGGAAAGAAACTCTTCTCTCCGTTCTTCGTAAGTCGGTTCAATCCATGTCTTCAGCAATGACTTCAGGACCTGAAATCTTTCGCGTAACGCATCATTTCATGAGAATAAACCTAAGGGTTAATTAGATGATGCAACCAATGCGACAGAAAGAAAACTTAGAACCATAAAGTCATGCACCCAATGTGACAGAAAGATTATGATTTCCGTATAGAAGGTTTCAGGTTTCCTGCCCCGTTGCAGTACATTGTACGCTTAAAACAATTCAGTCATTCATGAATGATATAATTCAACTTGACGCCAAAAAAAAGAAGAGAATGATGCAATTCAACTATGATTGGGCCATCTGACCAGATCTCCAACTTTAATTTTCTTGACACTTCTAAAATGATAAAGAGAGGAAACAATGACCCCCAAAAAATGTCCCTATGATGTGCTCCCTGCATTAAAATTATTAGGAGGCTCACAGGAAAATTGTGCTGTCTAGTCACACCCTTTCTTGCTAATCTTGAGGTGGCCACCGCCATCATGGTCTGTAGTGCTCACTTGCACCTCCCCATGGCTTATAATAGGCTATAAGTGTATTGTAGATTGTGCTTGAGCTTGAGCTGAGTTAAAGACTGTTTTCATTGGTCTTAGTACCTAAAGGGCTTGGGCTGAGAGTAATGGGTAATGAGATGGGCAACAACAACGTTATCGGTCAACAAGGTATGCATGTTGCTAAATACTATCTGCTTTCTAGGAATGAGCATGAATATTTTGCTAACCATCTTCTTATGTAATTCTAGTACCAGAGGAGAGTGCTAAGGATTTCGACAAAACCATGGCCAACGCAGATTATTCACATGAGCTCAATAACATAAATGGTGAGAAAGGTACTGCCTCTGTTTCACAATATTTGTCCTGCACGAACACCTAGGAGGCACAAATTCAACGAATATTTGATGGAATCATGTCAAACTTGCTCTTACTAGAAACTCACCACTACAAAGCTATGATCGCTGATTCATTGTTCTGTTTATGTTAGATACGGAAAAGGATGGCACTAAGGATGTAGATATGTCGGAGGTATTAAAGGTCCCTCTCATCTCTAGTGGTGGAGATAAGCAAATGGCTTCAGATCAAACAAAATTGTCCGCTGCGAATGAAGACTTAGATGAGAAGAATAGGGGCTCACCTCAGGATCACACATCAACAGAAGATGATGATGGGAATAAAAACTTACCTACAGAACAAGGTTAGTTCAGCCGACTGATATTGTACATACTATAATTTTATTTTTGTATTGTAAAGCGTATTATGCGAATGGTTTAATACGAAAAGTTTGGAAATGGTGATTTCCATATGAGGTAGTAAGAAAATTCTAGAGATTTAATAGGCATTTTTTTTATACAAGTTAACTTCTAGTTAGAATTCAGTGCAATGTAATCTGGAGTTCAATAACCACTCTAATGCTATTATGTTTATGTTAGATAAGGAGAAGGATGGCACTAAGGATGTCGATATGTCAGAGGTGTTAAAGGCCCCTGCCATTTTTAATGGTGGAGATGATCAAATGGCTTCAGATCAAAGAAAAATCTCTGCTGCAAATGAAGACTTAGATGAGAAGAACAGGGGCGCACTTGAGGATCATACATCAACACAAGATGATGATGGAAACAGTAACTTACCTACAGAACAAGGTTAGTTCAGCTGGCTGATACGGTCCGTACCTAGTTTGTTTTGCTGTCTTTCGTACAATAGTCCCATTTTTGTGCTTTAAGCTTCTATGCACTGGGTCTGTCCTTTAATAAGCCATTTAAAACTGGTTTAGTATGAGAAATACGCGTGCTTGAGAAAATTAATGGTGATTTCAGGATGAGATAGTAAGAAAAATCTATGGTTCAAAAGAATGCTAGTGCTACCTAGCCGTCCACCTAATGTTTTTTTCGAAAAGAGGGGAAAATCCTCTGGCTCTGCATCGAGTGATGCATGGCTACCCACCTAATAAGAAGTACACTATGTTTCTATGAATAACTATACTTGAATTTCAGAATGTATAATTGTCCACTAAAAACATAGGCAGTTAAGCATTTATAGCTTTTACCTTCAGCACTATAAGCTCGACTAATAAAAGCAAGTCATCTGGCACAGGTGATGAAGCACAGGAGGACAGTGGAACTGAAACAGCCACAAATTCTGCAGAAACAGTTGCCCGTTTCGACACCACAACTGAAGCTATAACAAGCAACAAGGATACTTCATCATCTGATGAGCAATTCACACAACTTGAACACGAAACTACAGAGAAAAGTGAAGAAAATACCACGGCAAATCCCGCCATGTTGTTAGAGGAAAACATTGAAGATCTGCCAGAAGACAAGGAGGAATCTTGTAGTCAAGAAGTTGCAGTGGTGGGTGATAATCTAGTTGGAGAACATACAGTTGAAAACCTAGAAGGACAAACTGGACCATCAACAGTGGAGGGTGATAATCTAGTTGGAGAGACTACAACATCAACTGAATCAATTATCAGTGGTTATGTTGATGACGAGACTAAGGAGGTTGTCGTCGAAGATGAACCTAGAAAAAGAGAAAATTCGTCATATGTAAGACCAGAAGGCGACACCAACCAAGAAACATTCAAGAATGAAGAGAAGCAAGAAATCTGTGAGATAGGCAAAATCAATACATGCAAAACTATAACAGAAGATACTGTGGTTAAAAGCCCTGAAGTGCTAGAAGAAGATGAGAAGATCCAAGGATTGGAAAATCAGGAGGAAGAATTTCCCAAATCTAGTGCATATGATGCTCCTGACATTGTTGAAGCTGTTTCCCAATTTCAGTTAGCTTTAGCAGATCCAAGTGCAACAAATGGCAAAGAATTTCAGAAACATGAACTGAGTATAGCAGAACAGATGTCAGATTCTGTAAGTGCAGCAATGGAGCACAATGTAATTGAAACAGCAGAGAAAGAGCAAGGGGGAATTGTTGAAAAAGATGTTGCAGACAAGAATGAAGAAGATAATTTTGAAGGGGATAAGAAATCTGATGGTATGTCAGAGGTTTTAAAGGACCCTGTCATTTCTAATGGTGGAAATGATCAAATGGCTTCAGATCATACAAAAATCTCTGCTGCAAGTGAAGACTTAGATGAGAAGAACAGGGACTCACTTCAGGATCATACATCAACACAAGATGATGATGGGAATAGTAACCTACTTACAGAACAAGGTTAGTTCAGCTGGTTGATATGGTTCATACCTAGCTTGTTTGGCTGTCTTCGTACTATGTTTTATTTCTGTGCTTTGATAAGCCATTTAAGAAAATAGTTAATATGAGAAGAATGTGTGTTTGTGATAATAAATGGTGATTTCAGTGTGATAGTAAGACAGGGATTCAAAAGTAAAAATTTGCTAGATGCTAGTGCTACCTAGCTACCCACCTAATAAAGGTGCGTTATGCTTCTATGAACAACTATACTTGAACTTCAGAATATATGATGGGCCACTAAAACCATAGGTACTTAAGCATTGCTTTCCTTCAGCACTATAGACTCTCCTAATAAAAGCAAGTGATCTGGCACAGGTGATGAATCACAAGACAGTGGAACTGAAACAACCACAGATGGTACAGAAAAAGTTGCCCCTGTCGGCACCACAACTGAAGACATGACAAGTAACAATGATACATCATCATCTGATGAGCAATTTAAAGAAGTTGTACACGAAATAACAGAGACAAGTAAAGAAAGTACCATACAGAATCCCCTCACATTGTTAGAGGGAATTATTGGAAGTGCGCCACAAGATGGGGAGGAGTCTTGCAGTCAAGAAGTTGCAGTGGTGGATGATAATCTAGTTGGAGAAGATACAGTTGAAAGCCTAGAAGAAAGACAAGCTGGAGTGTCGGTAGTAGAGGATCTATCGACACCATCGTCGGTACAAGGAGAGACTACATCATCAACTGAATCAATTATCACTGATCATCTTGATGATGAGACCAAGGAGGTTGTCCTCGAAGATGAGCCTAGAGAAAGAGGCCATTCATCACATGTACGACCAGAAGATGACACCAACCAAGAAACATCCAAGAATGAAGAGAAGCAAGAAATCTGTGAAATGGGCAACAACAATACCTGCAAAACCACAACAGTAGATACTGTGGTTAAAAGTGAAGAAGTGCTAGAAGAAGATGAGAAGATCCAAGGATTGGAAAATCAGGAGGAAGAATTTGCCAAATGTAGTGCATATGATGCTCCGGACATTGTTGAAGCTGTTTCCCAATTTCAGTCAGCTTTAGCAGATCCAAGTGCAACAAATGGCAAAGAATTTCAGAAACATGAACTGAGTATAGCAGAACAGATGTCAGATTCTGTAAGTGCAGCAGTGGAGCACAGTGTAATTGAAACAGCAGAGAAAGAGCAGGGGGGAATTGTTGACAAAGATGATGCAGACAAGAATGAAGCAGCTAATTTTCAAGGGGATAAGAATTCTGATGGTATACATGACTCCGTCGGTCTTGTTATGGTCCATGGAGAAGATTTTACAGGTTTAGGCCCGCCATTATCTGGCCCTCTTTCTATTTTGAATGAAGAAAAGGTACATGAAGAAGTCGTCATAGAAGAATTAGCCGCACCAATGACTGCAAAATCATTTGCTCTTAAACCAGTAGAAGATTTTGTGAAGGAAGATATTAAACCTGATAGCTCAGATAGTAATGAAGGAACCACCACCTCCACATATGAAGCAAAGACTATAGATACACAAGAAACTATGAACATCTCACAATGTGATCAGCCTCAACAGGTACTGCTTGAAGAACCTGAAGTTGTCAAATTTGAAAACAGTGAGACTCTGAGCACTTGCATAAAGCTGGTGGAATACAGTTCAGCGACAGAATTAATCTTCCCTGATGTATTCAACAAGGAGAGAGAAGGCACATCTGATAAAGCCACATGTTGTACTTCTGAATCCAATCAGGAGAAAGTCACAGGGACTGTAGGCTTTGCTGCTGAATCGAAACAAAAGAAAGTTATTGCAAATGCTGATAATTCTAGTGAGGAACAGTGTTTGCTTCAGAAACCAACTCTAGGGACAGATGTGGGTGAAGAGATTCCGTTACTTCTGAGTACAGAAAGCATCAACTCTTTAAGTTATTCTAGTGAACAGCACAGCAAATTAGTCAAGGACATCCCCATGACCAACATCACTCTGATGCAAGCCAAAGATGAAGCCGTGGAAGAATCTGAGAAGAGTCCACTGCTGAGCCCTAGGGAGCCATCAGAAGGAGCCTTCAGAGCGCCAAATCACTCGGGAAGAAACAATAAACCACTTCGTAGCTTAATGACGGAGGACGGTGTTGGAACGTGGTCGCTGTTGAAGGAACAAGAACCGGTTCGGAAGAACAACACCACGGTTAGTTCTCCTAGAAGCAAAGAAAAGCAGAAGCCAAAGTCATCCCTTTTTGCCATTTGCATGTGTTGCACCACAGCTACGAACTGATTTATGGCTTCATTTGTTGTTTTCCTTAATGCCTGGTTGATTTTCTTTTTGTTCAAGGTTTGATGCTCGAGTTTACTTAGTGAAGAATGTTTTGCAGTTGCTGGAAATATTTTAGATACCACAACTTGTATTGATCAGAAGTTGTATGTTACTCTTTTTTTCCATCACTGTATCTGGTTTGGAGAATGAATGCCTTCAATAATACAAGTGTCTGTAAAGGGTTGTCGAGTTAAAAACATCCTTTGTGTACGATACGATATATAGCATTCCGACATTAAATATCTCCACTGCCGTTGTTCTATGCCGACAAATGTCCATAAAATGCGAGCATGACATGCCAAAAACTTCCAATTATCTTAAGCAATTTGAGTTAATCAAATTTTCGCATAATCATATTAAACTGGTATATTTTAGTACGTTCTCTTAAAAAGGACAGAAACAAACAGAACAAGCCCTTTCAAAAGGATTACTGAATTAAATTTCCAACATGAGAAGCAAACGCCAACATCACTGTAGTTGGCACAATGATAAAGTTAGCCACTGAAAGTAGTTTCGCAAGACCATCTTATTCAAAAGCATTTCCACTAAAGTGGAACATGGGAATCCCAAAAACATGTTGTTTATGCTCACCAAAGAGTCCTACCCTAAATGCCAATGCAGATATTATGTAACTTATTATTGACAATTCTGCTTCAGACTATTATTAATGCTCGAATTCACACATTGAACAACTTCAGGATTCATATTTAAGCTAGAGAAAGAAAATCAGTAATGCTCACAGTATGATGTGACAGAGGTCGGAGTACTGGAGAAGATGCAAACAATGATCAATTATATGATATCTGTCAGTAATACACATTCAGGTATACATAGACTTGTTGCCAAACAGTGCAAATATCAGACGAACAATATTTACTGATTAGAGCAATTCCAGATTTCTAACTAGTAAAATCACAGTAAGTTTTGCCGAAAATAATCGCAGACATACCACGCACCCCATTTCCCCAACCGAAGACAAGCCATTGATGGTTAACTTACCTCTGCCAGTGAAAAGAAAGTGTTGGTGGCATATGAAGCCTGCAAGAAGTTAGATCCATTCGGGTTAACTCGAGCAGAGAAAGATTGCGGGTTAACTCGAGCAGACTGCCCCCTCCCCCGAGTCGCCGTCGTCGACCCATCCAGGCCGGGCAGGCCACTTCCTTCTCTGCCCCAGCCCCCAGCCACGGTGGGCACGGTGTCATCAATACTCGTCCTCCTCACTGCTCCTCCCGTTGACCGACGCCACCAGTGCCTTCTGGATCACACCTCCACCCGCCTCTCCGCAAGCCGCGGACGCCGCTTCATTGTGGCCGGTAACTCAACGACCTTCCACAGTTCCACTTCGTGTCGCAGCGCCCCTCACAGGGCAGTCCCACGATTGATCTCGCCGTCGGTGCGCCAATCGGCGGCCCCGCGGCCGAGTCATGGCGATTGGCGAACCTGCGCCGTCGACGACGAAGTTTGGAGTAGTATAACAAAGGAAAAATAGAACAACCAAATGGGCGTGCTGCTTTGAGATTAGTGATGTTAGGGCATTTTCAAGACGGGCCCGCAAACCGCCCGTATCTGTCCGGGCCATGCTGCCTAGACGACGGGAGCCATCTAAGCGGGCATGTATCGATCCGTGGGGCGGTCCGGACGCGATTTCCACCGCAAACCAAAGAAAAAGGTGAGGGAGCTTTGCGGGAGTCCGGACACGCGAAACATAGAAATCTGACATCCCGGCCACCCAAAACCCTTCCCGGATCCCGCGATTCCATCCTCCCCATTTGCTCTCCTTCCTTCTTTCTTTCTTGCCTTTGCCGCCGCTCCACCACCCCAGCCACCATGCCACACCCCTGCCGAAACTCCGCGTTTCCGCCACCTCCGGCGCTCCAGCAGGGCTCCACCCCGCTTCTCCTTCGTCTCTGTTCAATCCCTGTCCTCCGACCGTCCCGTCAGGTACCATCCGCTACTGCTATTCTCATCATGCCCGGCAACTGTTTGATGAATCGCCGAAGCTAAAAACAGTTGCCCCTTTCTTCTTTCTAGCAATGGCTTCCGATTTGGAGTACATATACGGGCAGTATGTTGAGTCATCCGACGACTCATCGGACGAGGAGAAGTACTCCGATGAGACGGCGATTATGCAGGCGGTCCCTGAAGACTCGGAGCGTGCGGAGGAACATGTTCTCAATTTCAAGGCCTCGATCAAGGGTCATCAAGTGCTCAATCGCAATAGGGTGTGTGGCCATTTGACACTGATGGCCGGCTACTTTGCCCCCAATGCACTATTCACTGACCATTGATAACCCACAAGTATAGGGGATCAATTGTAGCCTCTTTCGATAAGTAAGAGTGTCGAACCCAACGAGGAGCTAAAGGTAGAACAAATATTCCCTCAAGTTCTATCGACCACCGATACAACTCTACGCACGCTTGACGTTCGCTTTACCTAGAACAAGTATGAAACTAGAAGTACTTTGTAGGTGTTGTTGGATAGGTTTGCAAGATAATAAAGATTACGTAAATGAAAAGTAGGGGCTATTTAGATAAAGACACAACTAAGTTAGTTTTAGTAAAGATCTTTTTGTTAAGAGAAAGTTATTTGTCCCTAGGCAATCGATAACTAGACCGGTAATCATTATTACAATTTTATATGAGGGAGAGGCATAAGCTAACATACTTTCTCTACATGGATCATATGCACTTATGATTGGAACTCTAGCAAGTATCCGCAACTACTAAAGATCATTAAGGTAAAACCCAACCAAGCATTAAAGCATCAAGTCCTCTTTATCCCATACGCAAACAACCTACTTACTTGGGTCTGTGCTTCTGTTCACTCACGCCACCCACCATAAGCAAATCATAAACATATTGCAAACCCTACAGCGGGAATCCCTCACGCTTGCGCGACACGGAGAGCACCATAGGACAACACCAATAATAAAACATGCAACTCAAACCAATCTTGATCATCAAATAGCCCATAGGACAAAATAGATCTACTCAAACATCATAGGATAGCCATACATCATTGGGAAATAATATATAGTGTTGAGCACCATGTTTAAGTAGAGATTACAATGGTTAAGAGAGAGGTTACACCACTGCATAGAGGAGGGAAGAGTTGATGATGATGGCGGTGAAGTTGTTGGTGAAGATTGCGGTGATGATGATGGCCCCCGGTGGCACTCCGGTGCCACCGGAAGTGAGGGGGGGAGAGCCCCCCTCCTTCTTCTTCTTCCTTCACTTCTCCCTAGATGGGAGAAGGGTTTCCCCTCTGGTCCATGGCCTCCATGGCTTGGGAGGGGCGAGAGCCCCTCCGAGATTGGATCTGTTTCTCTGTCTCTCTCTGTTTCCACGTTCTCAGATTCTTCCCTTTCACCGTTTCTTATATTCCCGGAGATCCGTAACTCCGATTGGGCTGAAATTTTAACAGGATCTCTATCCGGATATTAGCTTTGTTATGGCGAAAGAAGGGCACCAACCGCCTTACGGGGTGGCCACGAGGGTCAGGGGCGCGCCCCCTGCCTCGTGGCCCCCTCGGGCATCGTCACGCGTGGATTTTTCTTCCCAAAAATCATATATATTCTAAAAAAATCTCCATCAGTTTTTATCCCGTTAGGACTCCGTTTGATATGGATATTCTGCGAAACAAAAAACATGCAACAAACAGGAACTAACATTGGTCATTGGATCAATATGTTAGTCCCAAAAATAGTATAAAAAGTTGCCAAAAGTATATGAAAGTTGTAAAATATTGGCATGGAATAATCAAAAATTATAGATACGACGGAGACGTATCAACCATTTCCACCAGCATTTTCGGATGCGCAAGGTTGTCTTCGATCGTATGTACCATGGCGTCCGGTCCTACGACGACTACTTCATCCTAAAGAAGGAGGCCATGGAAACAATTGGCTTCTCTAATTACCAGAAGTGCACGGCCGCACTCCAGATGCTTGCATGTGGCACGACTGCTGATTCGTGGGACGAGTACCTACGGATGTCTGAGAGCACATGTGAAGATGCTATGGTCAGGTTTGTGATGACCCACAAGTATAGGGGATCAATCGTAGTCCTTTCGATAAGTAAGAGTGTCGAACCCAACGAGGAGCAGAAGGAAATAACAAGCGGTTTTCAGCAAGGTAATTTTTGCAAGCATCGAAATTGATGATAACAAGTGGTTTGATAGTAGGATAATTTGTAATGAGCAAGTAACAATAACGGTAAGTAAAGTGTCCATGCTTTACGACCTAGAATCGGGACTTCAAAGACGTTTTGAACGTCATGGAGCATATGCGATGTTCTAAGAGTTGAAGTTAATATTTCAAGCAAATGCCCGGGTTGAGAGATATGAAGTCTCCAACAAGTTCTATAGCTGCAATATGGAGGAGAACAGTTCTGTCAGTGAACACATACTCAAAATGTCCGGGTATCATAACCACTTGACTCAGCTGGGAGTTGAATTTCCAGTTGATAGTGTTATTGACAGAGTTCTTTAATCACTATCACCAAGCTACAAAGACTTCGTGATGAATTGTAATGCAAGGGATGAATAAAATGATTTCTGAGCTCTTCGCAAACCTTAAGGCCGCGGAAGTAGAAATCAAGAAGGAGCATCAAGTGTTGATGGTTAACCAGACCACTAGTTTCAAGAAAAAGAGCAAGGAAAGAAAGGGAACTTCAAGAAGAATGGAAAGCAAGTTGCCACTCCCGGGAAGAAGCCCAAAGCTGGACCCAAGCCTGAAACTGAGTGCTTCTACTGCAAAGGGAATGGTCACTGGAAGCGGAACTGCCTCAAATACTTGGCAGATAAGGAGGATGGAAAAGTGAACAAAGGTATATTTGATATACATGTTATTGATGTGTACCTTACTAATGCTCGTAGTAGCTCCTGGATATTTGATACGGGTTCGGTTGCTCATATTTGTAACTCGAAACATGAGCTACGGAATAAACGAAGATTGGCTAAGGACGAGGTGACGATGCGCGTCGGGAATGGTTCCAAGGTCGATGTGATCGCCATCGGCACGCTA